CCTACCAGCCATTTTTGTAGGCATTAAACTGCCAGAATTTTAAAAGACGATATCTCCGTTTGCATTGAACTTTCAGCTTTGTAACTTTGCAGATATTGTTTATGCTCAAACAGCAACATTAGACACTAACTAACATTAAAAAAGTGAAATCGCAATGAACCACCCCTTTAATTTCAATGGTTAAAATATGGTTTAAAAGTTTTACTTAGCAATTTACATAAAAATGTGGACACTGTGATATTGTTATAGTCCAAATTGTGAGAATGTTTTTTTTCTGCTTATTGCCCACCCCTAATGTCAATTTATCTTTGTTACTTTGTGTGTCAAAAACAAAACAAAACACAGGGTCAAGCTTAGGGCTGTGATGTGTTAGGTTTCTTTATTTTTACCTTGCGAGGTGACACACAAACTGGGCGCAGAGAGCGTGGCGTCACTGGTGTAAGCGGAGCACAGGTTCTCACTAGAAGGGGAGGGTTTGAAGGACTGGAGCAGAGGGCTGCTCCCCCCATCTATCATCCCCCCAGGGGCCAGGAAGGCCTGCTGAGGCGGATACACAGAGGGAGCGCTCTGCACAGATAAAGTGCTGGTTGCTGTAAGACCACAGACAAAAACACACATACATATAGAAGCGCTGATCAGAGCCAGGACACAAACACAGATTTGAAGTTGCTGGGGCTGAATTCACAAAATCTTCTTATAAAAGTAGTTAAGAAATTTCCTAAGTGCAGTTCTTAAAAAAATCTTGAAGGAATAGTACACTTCAAGATGAAAATTTGCTTACATCTTGCCATCCAAGATGTACAGTAGCTGATTTTTTCACAAAATTATTTTACTGATTTTTTTTTCTTTTTTCAAAAGTTTTGTCCATAGAAGAAACTTAACATTCTTAAGAAATATTCTGTATTCCCAAAAACTTTTCTTAACTTCACTCTTAAGATAGAAAATAAGAAGAAAATACCAGTTAAGAATATAATTTTTAAGAATGTTTTGTGAATCCAACCCCTGATTTGCACAAAAATGCAAAGCAGAACAAGTGAATACCTGGCAGTATAGGAGTCTTGCTGCCCTGTGAGCTACTGCGGCTAGATTTGCTGCTTTTGCTCTTGGTGGGACGTCGTCTGCGGCCGGCTGGGTTTACAACGGGAGGGTTGACCATGGCGGGAGGTGCTTTGCCCAAGCGAGTGAACAGTGCTTCAATCTCTGCCTTCTGCCGGGTGTACAGAGCCTGACTCTCCATCATGTGCCTAGGAAGACAATAAGGAAGTCACAATTACTCCACATATCTTTAACATGTTACTCTGTCCCAACACCTGTTACAATATCTTAATCAAAAACAAACATACTTCTCCCTCAACTTGCTGACTTCTCTCTTAAAGTCTTCATCTTCAAACTCTGAGTCATTGTCGCTGCTGAAGTAGGAGCTGACCGAGTTGTTGAGGCTCCCGGGACTTGGACCATTCCCAACAGCTGGATGGGCCGGAGGTGCCGGCTGGGGTTCTGGGGGTTGTAAGCTAGCCACAAGAGCCTCGTCCTGTGCTCTGCTCACTGAGAAACGCCCCACCTTCGTGTCCGCCTTGGTGGTCACCTGGAAACGGCCAATGGTGGTGGGCTGGGGATGGGTTGTCGTCCGACTGGGGAGAGCAGGGAGGCCATCAACCTCATCTACTTTCGTGTATCTAAGGGGAGAGGAGGTTCGGTGTAGTGTGTTTTCAGGGCTAGAGAGAGTAGAGGAGGATGATGAAGAGGAGGTGGTGGTGGTGGAGGAAGAAGATGTGGAGGATGATTCCTGGGAGGTGGTGGGAGCCTGCAGGGTGTTCTCATCAGGAGCCGCTGACACCTGAACAACAGAGAGATCAAGAGTGCCACCTGGTGTCATACTCAAACACTGAACATCCTATTCCTGTCATTGCATTGTAAATGCAAGCTACCTGGAAACGTCCCAGTTTGTATCCTCCAGCTGCAGGTGCAGCTGCTGACTCATCATCCAGAGAAAATGATACTGTGAGAGAATCATCATTAATAAGCAGAGCTGATAATGAGTTAATGTAATATGAGAACAGGCTTAAGTTTTTAGCAACCCATTGTTTAAAGAACAGGTTAAAGTAAAATTGGCAGCACATACCTGGCTGTCCTCCGGGTGGGATCCCAGTGAGAGACGACTACAGGGACGAAAAAGGATGAAAATAAGATTACAGACATATAGATAATGTGCAAAAAAAGTAAATAATTTAAATAAAAAATGTAAAATAATAAAAAATAATCATATATATATATATATATATATATATATATACCATGGTCAGTGCTACCTCTATTACAATTCCACAATTGTTTCAAATTTAGCTCTAGGCTTATATATATATATATATATATAATTTAACAACAAAAAAATAATACATATTATAAATATATATTATCATAAATCAGATAATTATAAATCCATACAGATTTTTAAAAATTATATATAGATAGATAAATCAGAGGAGCTAATTCGAGAATCATTTCTTTTATCTGTTCTTTGTGTATGGAAAGTTCCAGTGGTGTTGTTTTGAATCTTTAACTGCAATAAATCAAATCAGACAGATCCAGCACTTAATCCACGTGTGCTGGTGTTTTTCCGGCCAGACCCCTGTTAGTGTGCGTGTACCTGGTGCGTGACACTGTTGATTAGGACGGTCTCTGGACTCAGCGCCCGTCTCAGCTGGGCATCCAGATCCTCCAGGGGCTGCTGGGACTAAATAATCCATTTCGGCAATTAGTCAAGTTCACTTAGCCCCAAGAAACAAACACACTTGTACACTTATAACTCATGGCAAGTGCACACAAATACAGCAGGGGAACCGTGTATCTAATTAACTTCTGCATGAGATGATCTCTTACAGTAAGTAAAGGGTCAGATGACCACTGTCTGGAAGAACTAAATGCTTTTAATCCAAGCTGAGGCTTCCTTTCAAGTTCCACTACATATTTGTGAGATTGAGAGTAAATCCTTTAATTGGTCCATACACCGCGGTTCTTGAAATGTTTTGTACAGGTTGGCTGAGTGCTATCACAGTAAGTTTTCTATTCACAAGTGATGGATGAAAAATATCACATCAAATCTACAGGATTAGAGAAAGTCTCTTGCATTTAGTATGAATCGCCTTAAGCAGAAGGGAAGGATTTTCTCGGAGTTTGACGTTAATTCAAGCAGGGTTCAATTTGGAGCAAGGAAAATCATATAACATCTAAACAACTTTGATTAACTGAGAACTGACCGAAATCGAGCTTCATCCACAACATGCTAAAAGATAATGACAAATCACTGACGTTTTAGGGGAGAAAAATTACACTCAAAAAGGGGAAGTCAAAGAGTCAGAGTAGAAGCAAATCTCAAAACAAAACAATAAAAAAATAAAAAAGAAAAAAGCAAATGTAATCTATATATCTAAACTAGAATGACTGCATTTATAAAAACAGCTCTTTAAAATCTTACAAGGGGACAGAAAAGCAGTTTCTTCTTTCCTTTTAACTATCATAAAACTATTATTAACAAATGAGTTTGAGGTTTTATTACAGTCCCGATACCAGAACATGAGACAAAACACTGAAAATGTTTCACATGTGATGTTGTTTTCTCAAATCACATCTTTCCTGTTCTCCACTTGCCAAAGGCAGAGAAAAAGAGAAAGAGCAGCTAATCAGAGTTAATGAGTGTCACAGGTCATGCTCCTAACCGGCCTCAAAGGAAAGCTACGCCATGCAGCGGTTTGATTCTTATGCGATTCAAAATCTTTACACATGCTCTTCATGTTTTACAGGAATGCAACTATATAAAAAACAGAGTGAGACAGAGAGAGAAAGAAGAAAAGGGCACCTGAGTTAAACAAGGTCCTGGGAAGGGTGGTAGGTGCTCTGTGGGCGGCGTGCCAGCCTGATCTGGGCCGACAGGCAACACCTAATGAATGAAGACGGAAGAGAAACTAAAGCATTGTAAAGAACGAGAGCTGGCAGAGGTGCCAATAAACTGCCACAAGCCACAAGCAACATGCAGCATAAGACTGAGCGTTATGGTCAAAGCTGTACTCAAAATGTGACTGGAGCTTTATTATAATATTATAGAAAAGTGTCAGTTTGGTTATATGGTATTCATGTAGATTTACAATGTCATGCATTTTGTCAGTCATGAAATTCAACAGCCATGCAGAAATTGGGTTTAAAAACAGACTATAAAATCACACAGGTTTTTATATTGTTAGTGGTTTGAGAGAGGGAGGTTAAAATGTGATGTTAAAGACAAGAAAAGTGTTTGCTTTAACTAGTACAATGATTTATTTTTTTTAATTTTTATTTTCATGACAACTATGCCCCAGATTTACACTACTGTATTGCAATATACACACATTACACTGTATACTTACTACCATTCAAAAGGTTTTTTTTATTTTTTTATTTTTTCAGGATTCTTTGATGAATAGAAACTTCAAATGAACAGCATTTTTTAAAAACAAATTATAGTATTGAGAATTAGATTTTTTTTTGCATTACAGCACTTACAATTGAGGGAGAGCTTGCTTTTAATTTGAATTAAAATGTCAATTAGAAAAAATCTTAACTGTGCTAAAAATAGGCTTCATTTGCTTTATAAATATATATATATATAATTATTTTTTTTCTTTGATTTTGTGACATGACCTATACACGTTGACAGGTTTCTTGAGAAACTTTAAATCAGACTTCTACAGCCTTTTGAATTTTTGATCAATCGGTCACTCACCGGTAATCTTGATAACGGCGCTTTGGATGGAGTCGTCTGACTGTAGCCGACTGGGGTGGAGGCATTACCCATGGAGGTCATGGGAGAGCCCGTTGGCTGACCAGAGGAGTTCAGGGGTAAGCTAGAGGGAGGGAGAGGTGTGCCGCTAGGGGTGGTGCAGGCAGTTGGAGAGGAGGTGCCAGGGACGCTTGGGGCTGCCATGGGGTCAGATGTGACATCAGACTGGGCAGAGGGCGGACCAGAGCCCAGGTCCATGAAAAGCGAGCGCAGTTTTTTATCCAGAGCCTGAATGTCATCAACGCCCTTTCCCTGTGGATCGTTGTCACATTCTACACAATGTGCGTGGCTCTGATTGGGCACGGTGGAGGTTTGAGGTTGGCTGTGCACAGGTGTGGGCTGCACGACTGGTATATTGGTGGTAACCGGCTGGAGGGTGGGCACTTGTGACTGAGCAGCCGAGGTGGGAATGACCATGGTGGTGGATGGTGCGAGCTGCGGCGTCTGGATGGCTGTGGTGGGGATGACCGGTGGTGTGAGCTGAGCTGAAGTGGAGGGGATGGGCGGCTGTTCACTACTGCCACCAGAAACAGATCCCATAGGAGTCGCGGAATGAGCGAGCAGGGCAGCAGTACAGGCAGGTATGGGCATGGGGACTGAGGTTTGGGGGAAGGATGTGGCGGCAGGCACAGCTGGCATTGGCAGAGAGGAAGTGGTGGAAATAACACTGATGACGGTAGGTACAGTCTGACTTTGAGGCAGAGGGAGTTGCGAATGGGCTGGAGGGGAGGTCATGGCAGAGGCAGGAAGGGTAGGAGGAGGTGACGAAGACCCTGGAGGGTTTATGGAGACAGAGGTCACTTCAGAAGACACTGGGGGAGGGACCACTGGGGCGGTGCTAGAGGGCAAGGGTGCTGCGGTGGGAACCAGAGGGGGCATGGAGACATGGAGCATAGGCGGCGCAGTTCTGGGACCCGGGTCAAACCGGCCTTGACGCAATTCAGAAAACGCCTGCTGTAGACTGACTGCAGACGATGACATAGAAAGCCCCAAGGCAGGCAGTGGAACTGACACAGCTGATAAAGAAGCAAAATTCAAGACAGAAATGAGTACACGGTTGCAAAAGTTGTCTAACATGCTACATCTTCTAGTCTAGGCTATTTGTACTAGGGGTCACATTAAAGTAAGGGACAAACACATAAGACATTTGGTCCAAACTAGATTAATGATTAGTCACATAATTCTTAGGAATTAAGTGCACTTACACTCCCTCCAAAAATATATATAACAAAAAAAAAGTCTTCTCTGCATTTCTACTCTTCTCTAGCTTACTTCCTAATCTAGTTGTCAAATAAATCATGCATTGAATATTACAAATATTCAAATATTAATAATTGCTATTGTAGTGTCAGCTAAATGAATAGATGTATTACCTATTACTTATACCTAAATGTATAACCTACTGTATGTATAATCTATAACATTATTTCACATAGTACACTCACAGGATGAAGGCTCTTCAACTGAGGGTTGGGGTGAGCTAAAGAACTGTTCCTTCAGTCTGGATTCAGGCACTGGACTCACGATAAACCTGCGTCCTGCCGAGTGGACCACCAGTGCAGCTGAACTAGGTGGCACATCTGGGAGGAGAAAAGACCTCAGTCCTGATGTATCATTAAAGAGGATGCTAACTTGTTTTACATGCTGGGATTGTAAGCTCTACCTTGTTCAAGAGGCGCAGATGTGGTGGGCATATGCTGCTCGTGATCACTGACTGACTGGAATCATTGGTGAGATATTGTTAACGGTGTTGTTCACAAGAATCATTTCAATATAAAACAGAGTACAAGAAGGTACATACCTGGCTGTGCTCTCTCTCCACACCTTTCTCATCTGCTGTTTCTATGACCTCTCGAATCTGCTCGATGAAGGACTCGCGCTCGCTCTCTAGAATGAATTCACTTTGTACCTAAGACATGACATGAAGGAAATAATACCTCTTCTTAATGAGTTTTGGCAGCCCAAAGCGTATTTTGGAAACAGAAATGTAATTTTATTCAACATCAGCTTTTTGTCACAGATCAAGTTCAAAAGAAATCACAGGTTAATTGAGCATATCTGTTAAGCATTAAAAACGCGGGTGGTGTTTCAAGTTACCATTATCTGTGCAATTTCCTCTGGGTTATCGCCGTCGAGATCAAACTTGAAAGTCACCATTTTTCTGTTGTGTGTTTCTAATTGACACTCCGCAACTCTATCGCCCATGCTGGAGATCTGAAACAACAGAGATGTTTTGTTGCATGTCTTGTTTTTCCACCACCATCAAAAATGGCAAAAAACAATACAAGAAAAAGGCCAATGTGTTGGACGTACATTAAGAACATTGAGCTTGGCCTTAGAGGTTTTTTCATGGCGTGAATGGCTGCGCACTGATCTGCGCTGGTGCCGTTTGGCAGAACGACCCTCATGCCTGCCACCCGTTACGCCCTCATTACCATCACTGAGCCCAGATGCCACATCAGAATGACAGCTAATGGGAAAAAAAAGACATGAAAACACATTACAGCTTTAGCACAGCTCAATGCATTCTGGGTCCACTGTGTCTGTTGTTTTTTTACCTACTAATAAACCATCATGCATTGTGGATCTGTTAAAATGGTGATTCTTACCTCTCCACACCAGGAGTTTGGAGTTGTGACAGCTCTGTCGTCAAAGTCCGAGAGACGCTATGAGATGTCTGGAAGAGCAAACGACAAAAACAAAGGAATTAATAATAGAAAGAGATGCTAACAATCAGATCAAAGAAGACAAAATAACAAAATGCACATCTAAATAAAAAGTACAACTGCTTCAGGTAAAGCCTGAGTGTTAAAAAAAAAAGATCTTATTTCACAGCAAAGAAAAGAAAGGACGCTGTGTAAGGACAGCTAAGCAGTTATGCTTCTCAGACAAACAGAGATAAAAATGAGCATGTAATGTCACTACAATAGCTTTGCCCTATAAAGCAAACAAAAACTGCACTGCACTGATGCATTTGGGGCCGGTTCGGTCCGTTCCAGGTACCTGCGCTGGGTTGTCTGCTGGCAAACATGGCTGTTCGTTGGGGGAGGGGACTGTGACCACATGGATGGTTGGCACAGGTGTCACTAGAGGCGGTACCAATTGGGGTAGATGGGGCGGCAGCGCTGACGGGGACGTGGCTGGCACAGGCACGGCTGCCGGGCACGTCAGCGCTTCAGGCACAGGTTGCTGCGGAAACGGGGCACCTGCTATAGTTGGCACGCAGCGTAGCTGGGGGGGAAGTACGAGAGGGGTAGCTGGATCAGATCAGTGGTTGGGAAGATGAACGAGGAGGGAAATATGTCTGCAAGCACCGACCGAGGGAGATGGAGACGGCAAGGCCAGTTTATGTGCAAAAGGAGTGATGTCTTCATTAACCAAAGGAAAACAATCACGAGATCAGACCACATGATGGAGACAACATGCCGCGGGGTGAATGGAGGATCACAACAACCGCAAGCAAAACACACATGAAAAACAACCGCCAATTTAAGTGCCAAACGTTTATTAGATTAATTTAGGAGGGGCATCTTTTTAAGTGCCTATAAACGTTGTCCCTGTCAACAACACATAAAATAAAATTCAAATCCAACACCACATCAAACACATATAACACACTTAATTTATTTATTTCTGACAGAACCCACATCTGATAAATCACATTTTTGTGCCACTACAGTGTACCTGCACTTTCAGCTAAAGGGAAAACAATTGCTCTGCACTAAACATTGGGAACCGAACAGAGAGACTGATCTCATTACCACATAACTGACAACCATGCAACATACAGGCAGAAACATGCCAGAAAATGTCAATCAAACAAGCACAGCCGAGGCATGTCAGAGAGAGAGACGGCCACAGATATACTGTACATTGTTTCGAAATAGAAAAAGAGGGAAACAAACAAAAAGAAGAAAAAACTTCTACGAAGTAATTTACCATTTTAAAGTTAACATGAAACTGCATTCACAATCTATCTATATACAATCTATCTACATATATCTCTATACACACACACACACATATATATGTGTGTTTGTGTATAATGCTAAATTTTTAATATTTTTCAGTAGTAATATAAAATGGTATAATAAATTATGAAAATACTGTATCTTTAACATTAAAGGGGTCATATGATGTGACTTCAATTTTTCCTTTCTCTTTGGAGTGTTACAAGCTCTTGGTG